TCTCAAAAAAACCGCCACCATTAAACCACACAAACAGCAGTAGCAGCTATTCGAACCAACTCAAAATGACTCAAACAAGAAGAGTTAAAGAGGGTTCTCTCTGTTATTTTTGTTTTTAATGTATCTGCTGGTGCTACTGGTTGTTTGGGTGCGCTCGTAAAAACAAAACTAACCATTTCCAACTCAATGATCGACAGTTTGGCATTTTAATAATGATGTGTTTGATTGGATACACAGAGAACGTTCACAGGGAGAGCAAAAAATACTGGATTGTAAACAAAATTCAACTCATTTTTGTTTGGGGGAAATTGTTAAACAGAGCTTGAATCGATTAGTGTGCCTTGTCGCCGCACCCTTTTGTTGTTACTTCTCATTACTACATTTTCTACTCGTTGTTTCTCTTGCCTAACATAGAGATCACATCTATCCCAGTTTTCTTTGTATACATTCATCCACTATCCATAAGATACATAAAGGTAATGTGTTTGTTGTTATTATTGTTATTGTTTTAACCACGTTGTTATAACAGTTTTTTTCTAAAGCACTCTCTCTATCTTAGTAGTATTCCAGTTAATGGCAGAGATGGGAAACTATATTCGAATATGGCTTAGTAATTTTTTATAGGAACACATGGAGATACTGATTTAAAATTTCGTATCGATATTAATATACAAATTTTATATTGTACTAAATAAGAATACGGAATGTTATTATGAATTACTAAAAATTTTTGTACAAAAAATTATATCCCAATATGTAGTTGTGTACTAAACATTTGTTAATAGTACTTTTTGCTTTCAAGCCTTATATAAATTTTATAATTTTTGGTTTCCTAATAGGTACATATGTAACCTTCAAAATGAATATACATATGACACACTATAAGCTTGATAAATATATTTTATTACTGTTTTAATGAACGAACTCAAAGTGTTCAAAACTGCCCCCCCAGGGGGGCAGCTTTGAACAGGGGTTGACATTTGTGAACGACATGGTTTTTTACAGTGTTTATGTTTAAATATGTATGTATTTTATTAATATATATCAGAAATGCATTAATTCATTAAAAAATATATAAAAAATGTTCAAAATTTAAAAAAATTAGATCAAAAGTTATTAAAACATAAAATGACATAAAAACCAAAATTAATATGGTGAAAAATACAGTTAAGTCTTATTACATTTGAAATTTTCGAAGCCAAAAGTTAAAAATGCTTTTTACTCGAATTTAAAGGGCATGTTCAAACACCCATGAAATTTTACGAAATTTAAAATAACTTTTTTTGTAATAAATATATATGAAAGAAATTACATTAGTTATGTTTGAAATGATTGTTGGAATGCAAAAAATTTGTTTGACGAAAGAAAACTATCACAGAATTCTTCCTGCGCCCTTACAACCAAATGAATAAAAGTTTACAATGACACTGGAATTTTTTTATAATTATAAAGAAAACATGGTCACCCATGCACAATTTTTCCACAACTGAAAAAGCAAGCCAAATTGGTTTACGCATATGGAGAACAAGATTGCCATATACAAAAATGTGGTTGCGGGTCGTAAAAATATTAAACCAAGATTTTATGAGCGCTGTTCAAAGGTGCCCCACGTTCAAAGGTGCCCCCCTCTCCCCTACTAAATGACAATATGTAGAAGTACTATCATGAAGTAAGACGTTACGTTTACGCGAAGGTAAAAAGGTCAGAACATTCGCAGATTCTTAATAAAATTTCACTAATAAATATTTGACATTTTCTATAATTATAGTACCTCTGTTTAAATGGGTTGGGTCTACATGAATAATTAATTTTTACAAACTTAGTTTTTTTATATTACTTCATTAATTTCCAATCTAATACTGAAATTAATAAATATGAATATAAATTTAATTATCCTTGATTTAAATTAGAAAAAACGCTAAGTTGATATTACTAATGAAAACAACTCAAACTAGCATCGTTGTCTGCATGACAAATTTTTAGAAAAAATTTACTCACATTGTTTAGCATGATCTGCAAAACAGGGGTTGAATCTAATGAATTCGCCCTTCATTAAGAAAACAGGTAGCTGACGTATTTTCCCTCCAAATGTAAAACACACAAAGAGAGACAACACACAGGTAACAACAAGAAACAAAAAGGCAAATAAGGCGTTAGAAATGTCAGTACACACAGCCTGGATATTTGCGTAGCAAACACTACTAACAGTAGTTATAAAAAGTCTGAGTACATAATAAATAGAAATGTTTTAAGGGGTGATTAAGGGATTGTGTGAATCATGAATTCATGGAAGTGTGCGATGGAAAATAGAGTTGTTGTGGGAGACAGGTGAGGAATGGTTAAATTGTCATCTTCGGACAGTGATTACATTTTCTTCATAAGCACAAGGAATCAGACCATGGGACACCTTACTAAATTTTAATTTCATGTAGATATATACTGAAATTTCAAGCTGAATAAATGTCCTGCAACTTTGTTTTAAAAATATTTTTTGCTTGGTCAAAACTAAAGAAACTTTTTAATTTTTTTATAAATGAGCAAATTTTGCTAGTAATCGACAGCAGTGCCATTGTTTTTGATTACGGCAGTACACTTACGAGGCATTGAGTCAATAAAATGCTTAATTTGAGCCTTGGGTATACTATTTCTCGCATCCCGATCTTTTGGGAAGAGTTTAGGGTTTTTGTGAAACTCTTTTTTATTTTTCTATCTAGTACAAATATTTTTCTATAGGCTGAAGGTCTGATTATTGTGTTGGCCATTATAAAACCTAGAATTTTGACTGCAGCAACCAACCTTTGACATGTTACGAATTATGTTTTTGGTTATTGTTATGTTGAAACACCCAGGCACGCGGTATATTTTCCATTTCATTTTCCAACATATGTGTATAAACAATTCGATCAATTACTTATTACACTCCAATTATTACAATGTTCCGCATCCATGCTGCCCAATACCCTTGCATTACTGAGGCCTGAGTCTTTCATTTTTAGACCGCAAATTTGTTCGCATGTGAGCCTTTGTGAAATTCCGATGATAATTATAATGAGTAGCAGAAAACCCCGACACAAATACGGGATTATATCATTTGACCTCCTATATATTAAGCGATCCTCACCAACAACTTTAGGCCACACACGCCTAAAGCATTATTACAAGTTATAAGACAAAAGGACGAGTATTTAGATGGTTTATCGTATGAAATGTTTTGTAGAATCTTGGGTCATAGGACACTTATTAAAAAATAAATATTAGTGAGGATTAATTCAGTTATCTCTGTTTGATACCCCTTCATCACATACACAAATACAAACTACTTAATAATACTTAAAATGTTTGTACCCTCAACCTCATGCCTAATGAGGGTATATACACTTTGCTGAGGGCAAAAATGCGCTTCATCGAAATGTTAGTTTTAGACCCCATGTTTCTTTAGACCAACTCCGTTTCAGACAATTTGGAGTCGATTTACAAATATCCGTCTGCCTGGCCGTCTGGTGAACACTATAACATTCGTAGCGAGTATCCGATTTCATTCAAACTTTGCACATCATAATATTTCTTCCAAACTTAGTTCAAGTTCAAAGATGGGGAATATCGGTCCACTCCTTCTGGTACCTCTACCACAATATGGTCAAAAATTTGTGGTAGAGGTACCAGATTATAAAATATCATGCGAACAGACTATCAGATTTGAACCAAAACCTATTAATTTTACCAAGCCTAAATGAAGTCAAACGATGGGGGCCATTGGTCTTCTTCTGGTACTTCCCCACAAATCGTAAAAATTTCAATATTTACAAATCCAATATCAAGTGAATGGGATGTCCGATCTGATCCAAACATTGAGTTATCTATTATTTTTAACAAGCATAGATCAAGTACGAGCGTGGGACCTAGAAGTCCACTCCTTTTGGTACCTCACCGACAAAGGTTCAATATTTAATTTTTGTAAATTAAATTGCAATCGAATACAATAACCAATTTGGTCAACATTAAATCCGAAACTTCTTTGTTAAAAACATATACCTTACATAAAGCGAATAATAAAAACTATGTTATATTCGGAAGACCTCCACATGCCATAGGCTATATATCTATCGGCGACACCTACTCTCATTTTTTTGCTTGATATTACATAATTCATAAATTTCCTCCGTTTCTCGTACTAAATCGAAAAGTCTAAAGTTTGCCTACCTGTATGTATTTACAATTCATAGGTCACAAACAATTAATCTTCTCTAGGTGACGAAGTATACATTATGTCCACACCTACAGTTTGTGGCGATTATCTCAATACTCAGCATCTCAAAATCAACCTGTATCCGGTTAAATCTAAAAGTCTGTGATCCATATTATATAATCTATCATAGAAACCAGACTTTGCTACATTTCTTTAGACCTCCAAATAACTCACAAATACATCTAAAATATCCAATACATACAAAAATTTACACATACACCTCCCCCCAAAGAAAACACACAAAATTTCGAATACAGAGGTCACAGTGTCACAGACATAATGGAAAATCACACTTAAATCTCAGCATAGAGGCAATTATCTAATTGATATCGTTCTACAAATCTAAATGTGCACACAGCCACACAAACACACATGCAAATAGCCAGTCAGGCTGGCAGCTGTCAGGCTTTAGGAATCATCAGCATGAACAGCATCCAAAGGCAGAACGAGTAGCAAATAAAAAAATTGTATATCTTTGTTGTCTTCGTTGATCGTAATATGTATTGTTGTTGTTGTCTTTTGTTGCAAATAAAGATGTCAGTGAAAATTTAAATTTGAATAGACGATCGGCGGAAATTAAAATTTTCTTCGAAATGTTCATGTATTCAATATAGAGTCTATAAAAATTTATGATGAAAATCCATATATGAAATTGTATTTCCCTATTAGCATTATACGGAATATACCCCATTCCCCACAATATTCCAAAATTTTCACATCCTTTGTTGTGTTTTTTTTTTGTTCCCAAACTTACCCCAACTTTCAACAGTTCTACCAAAATATTGCTGAGTCTCATCATCGTAGATCATTTGTTTAAGGGACTTCTTCTTTGGCCTCTCTGGTGGACGGGCATAGTAATTCTGGAAGGCGTCAATGGACTCTTCGGCAACGGTCGGCATGACGAAATTAAGGAATAGATCCCTAACGCGTGAACGATTGTGATGACTAACCCGTTGAGGACGAAAATCCGTCAAACGTAATAAGTTTCGAGGATTTATGACGCGTGATTACGATCAAAATAACACAATGAATTCGATGCTGTGCAAAACGGTTATGTAATATTTAAACTGATTTAAAATGTATATATTTATAAAATTCGGTTCGTTCTTTTGGTGGTTTTCTTGCCCAAGCGCCTTTAAGTAAATAATTTAAAGAATATTTCTTTATTTAATCCGAGATATCCGTCTTTTTGTATCCAGAGAAGAAACCGAGACCCGCGTGCTACTCAGGACTCCACACACAAACGAATGACCAACACTTCCCGATTTCGAATCTATGAATGCTGTTCGTTGTCGTTGCGCTTCTAATTCAAGATTTGCTGCTGCTGGATTTCAGCATTTGACGCTGATCGTCTGTCGCTTAGCATAGAGTTAGGCGGTCGCTGTAACATGAAAGCATTTGCATCTGTCGGCGACGCAGCAAAAACCCCGTAAGCCGAGTTTAGGCAATTTGCGCACACAAACTTGATATTCGTATTTTGTTCTTTATCTCTCTAAAGTTTAATAAATAAATTTTGAATAACAAAGCAGAAAAAAATGTTTGGTTCGCTGCCGCAAGTACAAATCTGAATGACTAAAGCAAAAAGCTTCGAAACGCTGCCACCGAATTTAGCCACTGATCTGCAACCATGCGTCGTTCTTAATCAAAGATAATTCCTCCCGTTTAAGCTACGGTGTGTGGTGATTGTTTAGATGGCGTCAACGCTCAAATATCGTTCAATTGTCGCAATGATATTTTGTGTTACTTGTTCGCCTGCCTGTATATCTGTCCGTCCGCATGTCTGTTACTTTGTACTTCACATGCCACAAGTGTAAATTTCTATTATCATCACACCATCATCATCATCATCATCAACACCGTCGTCCCTATACATTTTGGTTTGATAAAACAAAGTTACAGGAGCAAGTGTTGTTGAAAAAGATAAATCAGTTAGGCCCCACGTTGGGCGCCATAAAAATAATGGAACATTGTTTTTAGCATCAGTTTTTTTAGTAAAGGTATAATAAATCAGGAGATATTTCAATAAATGCTCAATTTACTTAGATTGCAATTCTTGATAATAGGGAACTTCTGTGGATGAGTTTTCCATTACTACATATTTTATTCAAATATTAGGTTGGGGGAAAATATATCCATACTTGTTTCGGCAGATGGCTGTACTGATAGATTTCTCGATAAAACAATTTCAGATTTATGCTCGTTAGAAAGGTGACATTTCGCTGTAAATTTGTTTTTTGTTTGGTTTGGTGCATTCAATTGTCAGTTGCAAGGTGTTAAAATGGCAGTAAACAAAGTTGACAAAGGCGAAAATGCAAGCCAAGCCGCTAAAATTGTGAATGGTTCTATGGTTCTGATACCGTAACAACCAATTATTTGTAATTATCGATAAAATCGGAGAAATAATCGAAGTTGAACGTTACATCGCCCAGGACCTAAAAATCGACCATAAAACTGTTTTAAACCTTTTAAAATTGACCAGAAACGGCCAGAATTTGCATTACAAAATTTCTTTAATGATAAAAAAAGAGTTTTTTGCCAATAGAGAATAAGACTTATATGAGGGAGGCATTATGAAGTTACCTTTAAAATGGCAACAACGCATACAACAAAAAGGTGCATATTTGGAGTTCCCCCCAACCTAATAGAATATGAAAGTAACAAATTTCAACTTGTGGTATTTAGTTTAAGGTAAACAATAATTATAGTTATTAAAAAGACAAGATATGTGTTCAATTTTATTTAAGGTAAATTATTTAATTTTTAATTATAAAATTAAGTTATTTATAATTTGTTAAATGGTTATTATTTTATTTATTTTTTGAATTTTCGGACGGCGAGATGTAAATCGATGGCGGTTCAATTTAAACAATATATTTATTTTATTTTTCATTTCTTTTTAATCCTATATTCTTAAAAATTTAACTTAATTGTAATTTTACATACTATTTAAATACTAATTATTAAAACTAAGAAAGAAATTTATGTTATGTTTACATTCATTATTAATTCATTCATATTATAAAAAAAATTAAAGAAAAATAAGGAAATCTCATCCAACAATATGATTTACAAAAATATTAGTCATTCGATTTAACTTAAGACATGTAAGCTCAAAAATAAAAAAATAAATAACATTATAACCTTATTCTTCAAATATAAAAATTAGGCCTTCAATATACTTCCCGCAATCCGCCCTTGTTATTTATATTAGAATCTGCAACTGGTACTGGGGAATCAAAAAACAAAACAACAAACATAAATTGTAGAATAATTTTTGGAGGTTTTCCAATGATGATTATGATTCTGATGAACTTCATATGTTGTTGTTTTGTTTGGCATTTCGCCGTCAAGTAATCTTCCATTAATTTCTTTCACAAATTGAAAGTAGTTTTTTTCTAGCTCAGTGCGATGTAGGCGTTTTAATGTCTTCAACCAAATAGGCACATCGTTATTTACAGGGCAGCCAAACGGAGAACTATGTACTCTATTGTGCTTCCCTCTAGCTGAGTTTTAAATACAAATTGATTCAAGTTTATGCTGGATATGACTAGACATTTGAAGCGGTAGAGCCCCGCACAAGACTTTTTCTTTTGTTCAGACTTTTTCTTTTGTTCAGACTTTTTCTTTTGTTCACATTAATTAGTTAGTTGGCATTGTCAGAGAAATGTAGTTTTGTTGTTGTTGTTATTTTATCTCCATTTAATCCATATGCATCTGAACTAGACCTCATCAGCATCCTACATTTAGATTTTCCTAACTAAGGCGGCGGCTGCTGTTGCTGCTGCTGGCAGGCTAGCTGACTGGCTGGCTGACCTAACAAACAGTTTGCATGTCGTCTTTTCACGTCTTTAGCGGTAATTGTTTGTAAGAAATATTACTTCCGTTGACACTGAATTTATATTTAATGTCTATTTGAATGAAACCAACCCCAAACCCATGGATGTCCACGACATTCATGTGCGGTATCTCCATCCCTCCTCCTCCTACGCCGCCAAATTTGCCACCACACTCAGCGACACGACAGTGATAATCCATCCATCCCACCAACGATGACTTTGATTTGGACGTTCCGTTGGCAGCTCTGCGGCCACCGTTTTTTTTCTCGTTTTGTTGGAAGTAGCACCGACATCGTTGCGACCCAGTAACCAAATTTATTCATAACCATCACACTTATCCAACACTGGCTGCCTGGCTGCTAAGGTTGGCGGTATAATTTCATATTTTATTCCATTTTATTTTATTGCATCCATCGTTTGAAGCAAATTTAGTTTTGGACATTTAAGTGTTTTTGTAATAGTAATAATAATATTTATTTGTTGTATAGCGAAAGACAATGCTTATTATCTGTATGCCTGTGTGAGTGTGTGAGCTAGTGATATGCCTGGTAACAGCCGCTTTGTTAATCCCAGCCATGGTGATTTGTTCGTTTCCTGGTCTAATTCTTGTTGAACTTAATTCCAAATTCCCATTATATGGCGTCATCGTTTCATTAGTTATTCTCCTCCTCATTTTTTAAGGGTAGAATGAATGGAATTGGCTATATTGGATTTGTGTTATTCAAATTGAAACAAATTTTAAAATATATTCGTAAAATTATTTTTTCAATTAAACGAATGAAATTTATATGAGAATTTTCAGAATGTCGAAAAAAATATTGAATCTAGAAAATCCATCAGGTTGATTAGGTTTACCAGATATAAACATATGTTTCAAACTATAGTTAACACCTTGTTTTGGTGTTATATTTACAACTACCCAAGCGATAATTTTTTCCAATTTTCATGTCTCGTGCCAAAAAATATGATCGCGTTTGGAAATTTATAAATGTTATATTAAATGTTAATCAAATATTTTTAATAACATACCAACCGTTATAAAAACATGTCAACTGAGGATTTAGATAATAAGTATAGCCAAAGATTATACATTCGGGAGATTCAATTTAAAAATCAAAATATAATCATAAATACGAGGGCAGATACACAATTGCGCTTTTTTTCAAATTTACAATTTAATATGTTGCAAAGATTTTTGATAAATGGCCGTCTCCGAACCACTGTTGTTCGAAAACGGATGGACAGATCGTAATGTATTCTTTTGCGGCCTTTAGATTTAGTCAAACATATAAATTTTCTTTTTTTAATTCATATATTTATAGAAATACGCGTTCAAAGTTTTTATTACAGAACCAAAAAAACGAGTTTTTCAAATTTTGTTCCGATCGACTTTTATATTTTACTTTATATAATATGCTTTGATGAAGTGTACAGTTATTTCACAAACAAACCAGTATTGTTTTCTACCAAGCGTCAAGAATAGATCTTCAGGTGTCCAGAATTAAATAGAAAGCAACCGTCCCATAAAATAAACGACTATTTGAATCAGACAATGCTGTAACAACAACATACATAAGCATTTTCAGGCGTTATTTTTTTCTACCAGGCGTCAAGAATAGGCCTTCAAAATTAAATAGAAAGCGACAGTCCCATAAAATAAATTAACATCAGACAAGGCAGTAACAACAACATACATACACATTTTCAGACGTTATTTTTGTACCAGGCGCCAAGAATAGGCATTCAGGTTTCCAGAATTAAGTAGAAAGCAACGTCCCATAAAACTTCGACCATTTGCATTAGGCAATGCAGTAACAACATCATACATACAACATGTATATAAGATGTTGGCAGATCATATTTTTGAAATATGTTTAAAAAGCTACAGTTAAATTCTGGGCGCTTGGACGTAATTTATTAATTGGGACAAAATACCAGGCGGTCAGAATTAATATCAAGAAACTTCCCCCAAAATAAATACAACACAATTTTACATGTTGTTTACATTTGTTGTTTTTATTTAAATTTTTATTAACATACAAAAATGTAAAACGTAGCATACTTTCAGGGGCTTGTTATTTTTGTAAGGTGTATGATTGAAATTTTTGAAAATTATTTTTTTCGAGACACCTTCTGTTTGATTCTGAGCGCCTGGTAGAAATCCGAAATTTGTATAAATTGTACAATATTTTATTGTTGTGACGTTACGCGTGAATGTTAAGAGTTTTTATGA